CCATACAGGTGCTGCCCTTTCACTCATGTCACAGCCCATCCATCCTGCCACTGCAACAGAGGATGAGGCATGTTTAAGACAACCTCTTTTCCTTTCCCATTCTTAATTTTTATCTTTAGGCTGTAACAAAAGAAGGATTACTCATTCTGACTGACACGTATTCTGAAGCTTTTCTGAGGATCTTAGACATGACAAGGGAATGGCTAAGGACTCTTGGTAACTGTTGTCATTTTGAGTGCCCTTGCTCCTCAGTCTGCTAAAGCAAATTGCAACTCTAAAGGCAGAAGAAGAAAAATTCCTTACTTCTTTACTAATGCGTCTATTTTCTCCAATATCAAAGGTGTGTCTGATCACCACAATTTATATGACTTGATCATATTTAGGTTTTCTATAGTCTTTCCTTCTCCCAGCTAAGTCAACTCAAACTCCATAGTCCTAACTGGACAACTGTAATTTGTCTGAGTCCTTCATATAAAGGCCTATGCACAGTCCTGATCTACCTCTTCTGGCTTCAGGAAAAGAGTAACACCGATAATTCTCCGCACCAGTGCCACACACGTGTTTTCCAGGGATTTTCAGTGCAACATCACCTCTATTAAAATAGACAAGGTGCTTTCAGCCATCATGTACTTTCTGCTGATTTTATCCTTAATCCAGCTTCTGTTCTGCTCAGAATCTACCTTGCTATGCACCAACCTTACCCTATCCCTCTGACCAACCATTGTCCAGGACCCAGGATTTACTGCTATTCCAGGGCCCTCTCCTTATCTCACCTCTTTCCCTAAGACCACAGTGATAGCAGAGCTGCCAGAGGATTAGAGAATAGTTCCTTCCTGAGGTGTGATTAGCAGAAGCCTCCTAAATGCTCCATTGCACTGCTTTTACTATTGCTGCAGCCATCCTCTCCTAACTACTGTAATTTAGCTGCCATATTCTCTCAGCACATAAGTTTTCTATAGCTGGAAGAAAGATTTCAAGATTAGACTGTCAGAGGCCTTGATATCTCACAGCACTTGTTGTTGAGATGCTCCTAGAATAATCCCATTTAGCCAAATAAATTTTCTTCTAGGTGAGGCTTGGTAGACAAAAGTTTTCTGGTCCCAGGAGTTGAAATGAAAGTCCCTACAGTTTCCTTATTCCAAACTGAAAGTATGCCAGCCTTCTAATGAGCTAGAAATGTTTAATTCCAGTTCACCTCAAAGATTTGCCTGTCATTTAGCAAAATGGGATTTTATGATCAAGTTTCCTATGAATTATTTTCAGTTTTCATATAAAATGCATGAACTGGAAAGAAAAAATAAAATTTATCTTCCAGAAAAAAAAGTGAGATAGGGTTGCTCTGGAAATTTTGTCCCTATAGTTTTTGCAGTCAGGAAATGTATAGAACTGACAATTTCCTAACCATGTTTCTTTCTGATTTTTTTTTTCCTGAGGAAAACAAAAACATTTCTACTGAAAAACTCCCACTCAGCTCTGCCTTCTATGTAGGTCAATAGTTATTCTGCATAGGACCAGACCCTGCCAACACATCTTTTTCTTTCTCCCATGTTTTGAAATCAGCATTTTTTTTAACTGAAGATATATTTTCTGACTTTTCCTGCTGCTGCTCACTTTGTATGCTGGATTTGTCACAAATGTTTTCCCATGAAAATGAGGGATGTCTCTGATGTCATCAGAGACCTGTATCATGGGTAGGACAAAGCAAATGACAGGAAGTGAGAAAAATCAGAAACATTGTCATGTAAATATTCTGAAGTAAGGCGATAATTGCTACTCCACGGGAAGCAAATATACCTCTAAATTACATGCCCTTTTCCCAGTTTTCCATGGGACATCACTGGGGGCCTTCTAACGACCTGGAAATTTCATGCCAAGGTTTGTCAGACACCCATGCAGGAGACAATTTGAGCTCCTAGAACCAGAAGTATCTCTTACGGGCTTTCCTCCCTCTGTGCATCCTGGGTGGAGTAGGGCTGGGCAGAGAGTAACAGCTGGCCCTTCACTGCAGTGCTGCATCACACTGATTTGTGATTTGTGGGGTTTGTTGTTATTCCAATGCACTCGGATGAAACCTTGTCTTTTGTCCCAAGTGTCAGTTGATAAGTGGAAGCCCTTGCAAGCACACAACAGCCTCTGGACACTGACAGAGTAAATCTCAGCCCCTTGGTGAGATCCTTAGTTACTACAGTCAGATTCTACATTGTTAAAGCAAAGAGGAAACAAGGAATACAGCAATTGCATATTTGCTGTTGGACAATGAATTACAGAGTCATCTGGACTGGCTTGAAGGAGCCACAGAAGTCTTCCTTCTACCTTTCAAAAGGAGTTTTATTGCTTTTCAGTCCAGCACCTAGAGGAGAGTTAGTCTCTCCACAGAAACAAATCTATGACAGTACACTATGACAAGCACGAAGAAAGTAAGGCTGAGTGTTCAGTCCAGAAAAAAAGACCGACTACACACTTGGAACAAATTACCCTTTCTTTCCCAAAGGTTATCTTTGTAGATCAAGGCTGAAATGCATTAGCAATGCAAAAAGGGATTTGGGGATGAACAGGTGCTGTCATTATCCCCTCTCTCCCCTCTATGAGGGTGTATAGCAAATGCAGTATCAAGGGTTATCGGTCCACAACCCCTCAGTAGGGAGTTAAGCGACTTGAAGAATATTCATGCCTACTACCAGTTAAACCTTGATAATTTTGAATCAGCCTCCAATTTTGTTGGGGTTTTTTTTAACCACAAGGACAAGGAGAAAAAAAGGGGTGGGGAGGGGGAAAGAGATCAAATGGGTCTATAATCATTACACTGCAAATGAGTCAGTGGCCAGGGTAGTCCACAAAGAGGGGGAGCAGAAGCACCCTGACTAGGTTTGCCAGGAAACTGCCAGCTCAGGTCCACCTGATCAGCAGGCAGAACAGAGGCTACAGGGTAAGGCTATATGTGCCATTTGCACCTCCCATTGGGAAAAATGATCAGTTATGGCCCAACTGTAAATTTAAACAAGAAGCACTAATGCTGTGAAGAGCAGCATGGGGCAGAGAGGACAGCAGCAAATAGGGGCTCTGAGGCTGGGTCACATTTCTCACCTGCACCAAGGACTGCCAGCTTGCCTGCCTGCCAATGCCAATGCCCTGCACAGCCAGACAGTGAGACACACTCGGCCCAGAGTTCCCCTAAAGAAACCAGAGCTGTTCTAGGGAGAACAGGACAGATACTGCCTCTGATCCAAGAGATGATACAGACCTTTGCTGGGTTTCATGGGTTAAAATTACTTTGGTTCATGATTAATTTGCTTACTGTCTCCAAACATTGTTGGTTTTTTTTTATTGCATCCGCTCTCTCACTGAGAATTAGAAGCAGTTTCAGGGAAGGTCTGAAGCTCTTCCTCGTGCTGCTGCGATGCAGCAGCTCCTAGCAGAGCGCACACAAGAAGCACTCTGTTGTGCTCCAGTGGTGATCTGTGGGCAATGCAAACTCACCACAGACACAGGGCAAGCTGTAAACAAGAAAACTGTAACCAACCTGAAACATGGCAAGAGTAAAAGAGTAAAAGAAATTATCTGTTTTCCTTCCCTTGTACCACAAGCCCAAATCTGTCTTAGTACAACTTCTATACACATCAAGGTCCAATAGGAAATTGATCCCCTGCATGGTAATGCTTCCTCTTTCTGAAGGAACAGAAAATCCCTGTGACAATTGTGTGGCATCTGCTGGACTTATGCTGAATACTGTACAGTAAAGTTAAGAGGTGTCAATTTATTTAACTGTGACTTTATAGACTGAAATGATGCTTACTATTTGCCTGTTTCGTCTCATCAAAAGAGTGTTTCTGTCATGTTAATCCCAAAGATGGAGTAGATAAAATAAAACTTACTCTTCTTAATATCTCCATGGCATTGCCCCAAAAAGACTAGATCAGCTAGTCTAAAAAAAAAAAAATATATTCTTGCTTTCAATCAATGCTATTTGTCTCTTTTGGATAGGCAGGAGTCACCCAGTTTAAGAACCCTTCCTTACATACACTACCACAAATGATCATTTTACATTTCCAGTTACTAATCTATCATACAGGGACTTGTTGACTGCACTGCCAATTTCTTTTACTCCATTAGTTTCTTTCTTGTTTTATTCAGTCATGGACCTGCTTTGTGTCCCAAAAGTATGCATGTGTCCATGCAAATCAGGAAGAGACTCAGTTTCCATTTTGCTGTGTCTTACCGTGTGCTGCCACTTAGATGCTTCCCCCACCCCAATTCTCAGTACACCTAATCTTGCAGAAAGCATACATGTCTGACGTCAGACAGTCATGACATAGCATATACCTGTTTGTGTACCCCATCCCCCACATGTCCACCTTGTGAATTCTGGATGTCCATCACCAGAGGCATCACTTTACCAAGAACACCAGCCTCTGTGACAGCAGACACTGAAGTGGGTGCCTACTGCCCATCCATACCCCTCACTCCCTTCCCATCTCTAGCTGTTCCTATGCCTTCTGTTTCTTCATATGACATTTTCCAAGGTCCCCACTCTTTAGTGTGTAGCTTTATATGGAGCAGAGTTGATCTGTCCAGAAAAGTTCTTCCTTAGCTTTGCAGGATTTACAAATTCCTCCAGAAAGCTTTATTCCTCAGTTCTTTCTGTATTAGAAACCAAATTACTACCTTTTCTTTTAAACATCTTTCCATCTGTGTTTCAAAACTACCAGGAAAAAAATCCTATAGACACTTAAAAAATAAATATTCTTTTCGAAGTGCCTTTTCATGCCAAGAGAAGCAGAAACCAAACTGAGATCCATTTCTCTACATGAACAATCTTATCTAAGCTAACATGAAAAGAAAGATAAAGTTGTACCTTTCTCTGATGCTTTAAGATGCATGACTGAGGGCTTTTTAACCATCAGAGGTAACTGACTATAAAATGTTCTGGGTACATATCTACATATGGTTTATATTATAACTATACAGTTTATATATCCATATGAAAAAAACCTTGTACTTACCTTTGAGAAGTAACATTTATCCCAGGTTTGGTAAAATAGTCTCAGACAGGCACTTAGACCTTCTTTCTATGCCATGCATCCTTTTTTCAAAAGAAGATAGAATCAGAAAAAATCCCGGTTGATCTCTAGCAAACCAAAATGCAGACAAGATTGTTTGTCAGATGCAGCCTGATTCAGTGAAGTCCAAGCTTGTGAATCCCTGAGACTCCTTGTTCAGTAATATCCAAAGCACAAAAAAGGGAAAGAAAGAAAAAAAAAAAAGAAAAAGAAAGAACAAAAAAGTGAATAACTTGTTCTTTTCCTGTCTGGTTTAAAAAACCCAGTCTTGAAGGACTAAGCAGCCTGCAGGCTTTTCGAGCATTCTGATCCTAGTGCATCCCAAGGTAACACATGCATTTCGGTATTGCAAGTCTTCAATTTCATACTAGCGAGCCCAGCTTCTGTGTACGTGTGTGTGTGTGTTGAGGTGGGGGGCCGAGTTGTACCGAGGGGGGAAGAGAGACTGGGAGATACACACACACACAGTCACGCAGAGATGGAGAAAGGAAAAACAGCAAAGTGGAGTGATATCACAAAGTGCTCTAGATGGCAGAGCCTGCACGGCTTGTAAGACAAGCAATGTGCACACACCAAAAAAAAAAAAAAAAAAAAAGGAGGAGAAAAAAAAAAAAAAAGAGAGAGAGTGATAAACCCGAGAGAACTAGCAGGCAGCTTCAGGAATTTCTTCTTACCTCTTCTGACGATGCAACATACAGCAAGTGCTTTGTGCTGCATAGGAATCCGTGCAGGCACGACTCAGTCAGACCCCTCACTTCTGCAATAAACAAATATGTAGCACAGGAAAGGGAGAAAACCAGAAACCAGAGGCACAAGGATACAAAAAGAAGCTAAGAGTGTCAGAGAGGAGGCTTGAGTGGGCGGGAGGCGAATAGTTGGTACAGAAAGAAACATCCAAACTCCTGGTCCTAATACAGATTGGCTCTGTAATTATGTGGCAAAGCACTGCCCTCTAAGCCATTGCGTAATAATAGAAACCTAAGCTGTGTAGACACAGCCTGACATGCTAAATCCGCAGGAGCTACACTCAACATTTGTCAGTAGAAAGCATGTCAGTTCTCTGGGGGCGGAGGAAGCTGAGGAAAAAGGGAAGGGGAGAGAAATTTCACTGCAAAATGCAAGAGCTGCAGCTGCAAAGAACTCTCAGGTGGTGCTTATGTCTGAATTGTTATTGTGGAAGTCATACGTTATCTGTATCTATGTAGAGAGAGGTAGACAGATATAATATGTGATGGTCAGGAACGTGGTTTAGTGGTGGATTTGGCAGTGCTAGGTTAACAGTTGGACTTGATGATCTTAAAGGTCTTTTCTGACCTAAACAATTCTCTAATTCTGATAACACTGTCAGCTCCATTCATACTATTCAATACTAGAAATAATTTCCCCCTGTATATTTTAGTAACATGAATGACAAAAAGAGTAACAGGTTGTCTGTGTAAAATATTATTATTTCTAATGCTGGTGGTGAGGAGTAGTTCTTCCTTTGTACTGAACAGCATTGGAATGTCTAAATAAAACTTGAATTGAGATAAAGGAACTCAGGAGGATTGATTAGTCTTTTGCATTTACCGTCAGGTTCCTCTCTCCAACCCTCCAGACACAGAGACACACACCTTCTTCTACCCTTCCTGGTTGAAGAGGCTCCCAGACAGAGCCAGAAAAAAGATGAGAATTGTCTAAACAAGAGGAGACAAAACCCCAGCTCACTCAAATTGCCACACAACACTATCATTTCACCAACAGATAAAACATTTAATAATGCACATTGAAAGAATAAAAAATAAACCAACAAAACCCAAGACAGTAGTACAATTTTTCAGTGGAAATTTACCTGGAAACTGTGGCCCTGGGTCACACATATGGTCCATCTAATCCACTATCCTGCCTCTAGACAGGGATGAGCACTACACACCTCTGAGGAATTTGATTGAATTTGTGCAGCCAGGGCTAGACAGACAAGGCTAACCTGTTTGTGGGCAAAGCTTCTCCTTAATCCCTGTTCTTTAAAGATTAGTTAATGCACTGAAGCATGAGCAGTGGAACAGTCTGCTTCTGCACATCCAGATTAAACATGTAAGGTCTGATTCTGAGGTTCTTTGTAGTTAGCATAAAGTACAGCTCTTTTTAGGCACCCTAGAGCTAAAGACTAAAATCTTCTGATGATTTGTAAACATTCCAGTGTAAAAAAAAGGGTAAGAGTTCAGAAAGAGCTATAGTATTTCAGTCTGAAGGGTGAGAAGGATATTTTTGCAGCCTCATGTAGCCTAATTACTCTCCTTATTTACTCCTTACTCTTGGTGGAAACAGCAAATATGTTTCAAGAGGCCATCCAGTGAAGGTAGAAGAACCAGGTTACCCAAATAATATGCAGATAACAAATTTGGCTCCTAGAAAATCAAACCAAACTGAACTGAAAACTTTGAAGATACTTTTGAGAATGTCTGTATAGAGCAATAAATACTTTTTTTTTGAGGCACAGATTCTGTTGCAAACTTCAGATCCTTTACTGTTACCTGTCTCACTCCTTTGACCTATGCCTGATGCATTCCTGGTGGCTCTACCTATATATAAGGTTGAAGACTGCAGATATCGCACATATGGGAACTAGACTGTGGTGAAACAGAGGAGGAAGGACTGCAGAGAGATCAGTTGCCTATTTTGCAGCCTTGGTTTTATGTGGAACAGTGCTGAAGGGCTCTTCTTGGAAGGAAGGCCAAGAGTTACCAAGAATAATCTCACTAGGCACTGAAAAAAATGGTCTGAAAAAAGGCAGATTTGAGAAACCAAAAGCTGACAAACTAGGTATTAAAATATTAAAACATTACTTTATTTTAGATGACTGAAACCTGAATTTAGGAAGCTAACTTTAAACATAACTCCTGGGAATCCTGGGCCAAGCATGTTGGCTAGAAAATCAAATCAAAGCTCTAATCACGTCAGTGCCTTACAAAATAAATGTCAGTGCATTGCAGAGAGAGAAGACTTCTCTTAATGACTTCAGGAATTAATAATAGACTCTGAGACTAGTGTGTCAGAGTTTGATTTGAAAGCAAGATATTCCTTGCAATGACAGAAATCAATGTACTCCACCAATGCACTCCAAAAATCTTCCAAAAACCTTTCACCCACTACAGTTTTTACAGTGAAAATTACTAGTGAATAATAAAAGATGATACAACCCTGGGTGGAAAAGTCACCCAAAGAAAGGTTTACATGAGGCTATGGTGTGGTGGGTCCCCACTTTGCAAGGCCAGTGTGCTTTCCACCTTTGTGATGCCCTTTAGAACTTAATGAGAGGTCTCTGGCATTTGCCTCTTAGCTTCTTCTCGTCATTAACCACCCCTGATATATACATTCCTTTGCTCCAAAGGAGCTTCGCAGTGAATCACACTCTTTCTTACTTGGACCTCTTAGCAGGCTGCCACATCCACTCATCTCTTTTGCTCAGGCATCCCTGCTCTCTAATCCTGTTTTAGTTCACAGTCAGCCAACAAGGTTGCTTGAGCTACATCTGCTCTTATTTCTACCTCCACAGAATTCTCATCCCCACCCAAAGAGCCACAGGAGAACCCTCATTCTACCTGGGTAGTGATCATCTCTCAGACCCACAACACTGACCCCTTGAAAGGACTGTCAAGGTTCAATTTCCCATTCCTGACTTAGATCTAGAAAATTCATGAGAGACCAGGAATACAGATGACTAACTCTGTGCTCTGTGAACCTAGCTGAGCAGCTGAAACTTTCAAGGGATGTAGGCATTCCCATTCCCCAACAGAAAGCATAATTTCTATATGAGGAGAACTCATAAAGAACTTACAAACACATTCATGCAAGTTCCCTTGTACAGTGGAAACCACCCAAAAGACCTAGTTGGACACAGAAACTACATAATAAGGATGCTCTCCTTTCACATACAGGGCCAGGTAAAACATCAAAACCTAATAAAAGTTTGAATTAGGATAGCAGGGCAGGAAAAAAATAAAACTGAGATGTTTTTGTGACTTCTAGGACAACTTTACCTGCTACAAACATTCTTTCTTAAGTCTAGCAGACAACATACTGAAGCCTTTTTCCATCTGACTGACAATATTAGCATGTACATGTAGACATTGGTAATTCCCATTTCCTGTCCATTCCCTTCCAAACTGAAGCAGTCAGCATTGAACATGACTCTTTAATCAATGGCTGCCAATCAATTACACTGACCGAAAGACAACTAAAAAAACCTTTAGTTTGTGGCCCTACTGAGGAAAACAGGTACAAGAAGCTGAACCCACTAGCTTTCAAACACTAAAAGTTTGAGGAAAGACTGTATATTTCTTGGGTGCTGTACAGCTCAGCTCTTTACAAATCATTGAATGTCTGTTTACACATGTATACATCAGTACAAAATCTCCTTCTCACATCCTCCACCCACACATCCCTCTGCTTTTAAAAGTGGCTTCAGCCAACAGATAAAATGAATGTGCTTTCTTTCAGTTTCTTACATCTTAGCATGGGGAAAACTTAATCCCAGATTTCTAGACAAGGCATTGTACTACAGTGCAGTGGAAGAATAAGGGCTCTTCAGGCTATTCATGAGACAAAGGCATCACAGAAGGTCCCTTTTGCAATATGCTGTTATAAAAAGCATAGAACATATCCCATAGGAAATACAAAGATGAACTTCATTAAAATACTACATCAACTCCATTGTCTGTTTTGCAGATGAATGCAGAAGGGTTTCCAGGTACCAGGAAAAAGTTTTTTCAGGTCATAGAATAAATTATACATTCATAATCTACTCCATTCTAAGCATTCATCTCATCTGGAATAACCAGGATACTTTAACTAACCTTAAGAGGATCCACTCTAAGTTTGTAGAATCTCTGAAAGAAGGTCAGCATAATATTTTTATCCCAGAGACATTATACTTTCCAGGTGCTCACTTTACAAGCAGGAAAATCCTTGTACTTCTGTTTTGCATAATCACATGTCCAGGTCAGTGAATGAAATTTAATGCCCTTTGATTGATAGGTTAAGACCAGAAGGGATAATTATGACCATCTCATTTGACCTTCCACATAACCTCAGTTATAGAAATCCTGTGTGTGGCTTCTGCATCTATCATCATAGTACTGGGGGATACAAAAAGTATCTTTTATAAAGGCAGTCACTTGATTAAAAAATTTCAAGTGATGGAGCATTCATTCCCCACTCTCTTTATAAGTCTGTCCAATATTTAATTACTACCATTGTTAAAAAATATTGACACCTCATTTTGTTACTCATATTATTCAGGTATGATATCAAAACCCCAAAGTGATAATTATTAATTATAGCTGGGTATCTCCTGATCAGAAAACTTAAAATGAGGAATAGCAGAAGTTTCTCCTGGCTAAGTGGATTGGTTCCACTGGGGGACAATGGGTTCCATTTGAGCCCAGTGCAATCTATTTACTCAACAAACAATCAAACAAGCAAGCAAGCAAACAAACAAACAAACAAACTTCTTGTTTAATGGCCATCTGTTTCAGCACAGTATTCATCAGAATAAAGAGGCTGCCTTAGGAATGCTTTCCCAATTCTCTTAATTTGATGAAGAGTACAGCACTAGCTTTCACAGTGCACCTGGAGGCAGTAGTACTCTGTCACCTGCCCATCAGTTAGCAGGACCTCATCCTGGTGGGTTTGCAACCTCTGGCATTGATTCACTCCATGCACAGAACGTTCCCAATCACCACCTAAATCCAGAGGGTCAGCGGATGCTCAGTACAATAAAGGCATGGCACAAGAGAAGTGTGAAGAAGAGTCTTCATCCTGCATTTTGACCCTTGCCACACAGAATGAGGTTGTAAATGTTTTTCACTATTGAAAGAGGATATGGGCTCTTGTCATGCAGCAGGGGGTCCCTCGTTGAAGAGGATGCAGTTAGGATGTGATACTCAGTTGCAATTCCACAGGCAAAAGGAGCAACATAAAGGAGGTCAGGCTCTC